AGACATCGATATCGAGCTTCTGCTGCACGATATGCCACAAAACGAAGAAGAGCCACGAGTACCTCAACCAGTTGATCATGGATCACGCTTATGAGCAGGCTCGTCTTGGGCATCTGCAATTGGACGGGTTCCCAAACTTCGAGCCGGTAGTACAGGAGCTGCAGCAGCACAATGATGATCAGTCGCAAAACAACGGCGATGAGTCATACAAAGTGACCAGCCCGATCGACGGAGCCTTAGTCATCAAGGCTGCAATCATCGATCAATTCAAGAACATGCCAGACTTTGACGAGGTGGTCTCGCAGCACAACGAACACTACAACCCCGACGGCAGGGTTGCCACCGAGGTCAACCGTGAAAGTCAAGCAAGCCCAGTGAAGAAACCGGTTATGCTGATGGCCGAGGTTGTGAAGATGGAGCCCGAAGATGTCATGACTCGCGAGAAGCTGGCCTCCTTGGTCAACCCGCCCTGCCCTTGCTTGCATGCGCCAGCGTGTGCCAATTTGCCTAGATTTTTCAAAGTAGGAACGCAATGAGTTTTGACATTGATGGGTGTTGCTGCGGCTCAGGTCAATCCTTTCAGTGAACAGCGAGCTGAACCTTGTGGCTGATGAATGTGGCGAGCGCTTGTTTGCCGAGGCGACTTCTCAGTTCACCGGAGCGGACGGACGAGAACTGTTCTCGTTCGGGAACGGCACCTTCTACGATGGGATGGAAGCCAAGGAGATTTTGAGCTCCGATTCCAAGCACGTGGCATGTGTTCTGACAAAGGACTCATATGTGATCCTCGAAAAGAAGAAGATGTTCGCGCACCTGTGCGACTTGCCATGTCTCGAACAGGGGTACCCGCTTCATGAAGTTGTCAAAATGTTGGAGGATGCCGGGGAGGCAAACGTCAATGTCTCCCACCACATTCGCCAGGGGATGGAGATTTCACAGGACAAAGCCCTGGTCTTTTGCCTGGAAGGCAACAACGAGCGCCCACGCAAGAAGCAGAAGACAAATAAAAACAAGAAGAGTGTCCTTCGGCTCGAAATGGTGCAAAGTCTGATGCCTGATATATGACTGAATTAAATTCATTTATTGTTTTTTTATTTTAATTTTTAAATTTAATTATATTACTCACTGTCACATATTCAAGAGTCAGATTTACGTCTTAATTTAATTTTAATTCAGTCAATTCAATAAATTGAATTGAATGCAAGGCTTCGTCGCTGACCTTCGGTGCCAAGCTGGACATCTCAGGTTTGGCTTCGAGTCCAACGTTGAAGATTGGCTGGCGTCTCAGGCCTCGGAACTTGAATTAGGTCTGCTTGTTTTTGCAAGGAAGCAGCCTGTTTATTTTTTATGTGTTGGTGGCAGGTTGGAATCAGAAGGCCGTGCTGGGGCGAAACTTGTTCCCCAGCGGCCGGTGGCAATGCTATGTGGCCTTCTGAACTTGGCAGCCGATACCATTGTTCGCTTGATGTAAGCAAGCTTGCGCAGAGCTGCTTTGATTAGCAGATTTTTTCTGCAGCAACGGTCACAGGCACATGGCTTCGATTTAGAATACGATATTTGCAACATGCAAAATACCAGCCAAGCAAATCCCACGAACTGCCTACTATGAGCTTGCGACCTGACACCCATTTGATCTGTGACAGTCTACTTCAAGTAGTTCATTTGTATGCGATTGGACAGTGTGCTTTGCGCAGAATGCAAACTTGCTGTGTCGAGTGGCTGCCCTCAATGCTTCTTGTTGCTTGTTGTTTGGGAGCGGTGTCTTTTGCATGGCAGTGCGACATGTTGCAAGCACGTGCAATACACTTATTGTTCTGCAGCAGCATTTTTTCACCCTTTCGTAGCTGAAGTGCCTCAGAGCCACAGAGGCCGTCATTGATTCATTGTGTGGAAGCATGTTGTTTGCTTGTCATTGTACTATGCTTTCTGACAGGATGGCAGGGGCAAAGCACAGCTTGGACTTCCGTGACTTGGAGTCTGATGAAGACTCGAGTTCCGTGGAGTGTGTGGGTGGTGGCTCTGCCAAGAGTTTTGAGACGATTGCCCCAGCAGGACGCCCAGCGCGTACCATGATTAGCCTTAGCATGATGCTCTTAACACCTTTCGACTAGCTGCATCTGTGCAAACTCAGGCTTTCAACTTGGACACCCTCCTAAAAGGTGACGCTTCTGGCCAACGCAGGCCTGGCCAGATCAGGGGACCTACGCCTACTCCTACGAATGAGTCCAGGACGTCAATTGCCAGGCTCGGGGCAGCCAAGTTGGCTGATTCAGCTGGCGATGCTGGAACATCTGCTGCTGGACCATCGACGGTCACAGATGCATGCCCCAAGCCTTACCAAGCTGATGGCAGTGGGGACTCTGATGACACGACTGCCAATAAGTCAAAGGTCACCAGCTACAAGGTGGAGGTGGCGGCTCCGAAGGAAGACAAGAAAAAACCCAAGGCGAAAGCCAAAGGCAAGAAGAAGCAGAAGAAGACGGAGACCGATGCCGACAGTGCTGAGGATGCTGCAGGGGGCCGTGATGAGGACGACGACGAAGAGGACGCAGAGCCCCCCAGAAAGAAGCCGGCAAGCCGAACTTCAGGCCACAGACTCAGCATGTCGTGTGGTCAGCCCATTCTCAGAAGATGAGTTGACAGGCGCGGCCAAGAAGCCAGGACCCAAGCCTGCTAAAAAGAAGAATCCGAAGAGGAAGGCAATTTTGCACGCCTTGCGTGGTTGGTCTTAGAGTTTTATGTTGCCGAGCCATTGCGCAGAAGACTGCGGACTCCTCCGACGCAGAAGCCGCTGCCGCGGATAGGACCCTGATGTTGTTAAACGCGGCATGATGATGAATGACAAGCAATTGACAGATGGTCGACACTGCAGGACGGACGAAGGGGCTGAAGACTCGGGTACAAGAATGGCCTCAGCCTCCGACTCCCTGAAGGCACTTGATTTCTTCTGAAGACTATTTAGGGATGATTTCTAAGCCTGATTCCCGTGTAAGACTTTGATTCGCCAGGAGAACACGTTGCAGCGGCTCCGGGCTTTCGAGAACTCCGATGAGATCTGCTTCGATTCTCAAGCTGAAACTCTTATTCTGGTGGCGGACGAGTCCAAGGATGTTGAAGCCGCAGACCAGTTGCCGCTCGACGAAGTGGACGACCTCTTCGAGGGGACGGACGAGCTCCAGAACATTCTAGATCGCAACCAAGTCGTTGCTGATTTCTACGAGTCGCACAGTGACTTGGAGACCGAGCTCCACATTTTCGGGGAGATCGGCGAGGCAGAGGACAGTGCCAAGCCTGCAGCTGTTGAGTCTGAGCCAATTGGTGGGGCCGAGGAGGACAGCATCCACGAGGCTCGCATGGACGCATTCCTTGACGACCTGCATCAGGAGATTGAAGGCGAACTCAAGATCAAGGACGAGATCAAGCGCAAAAAGCGCCAGGAGATCGAGAGCACGAAGAACTCCAAGCCAACGCAGAAGAAGGGCAACAAGGCTGCTACAAAAGACAAGGCCAAGAACGAGTCCGACCTGGATCTTTTGAAGAAGAGGCTCAACTCAGCCTCTTGGCCTAATAGTCAATCTGACTGCAACGTACAGCTTTAGCATGTCTTCTTGGCAGGATGCTTTGAATTTTGATCTGAGGCATACTCAGTGGGCCACAAGAGTGTGGTTGAGAAGGACAGCAAGAAGCGGCAGCTTGCTGGTCAAAAGAAGCGGCGAGAATGCCTGAAGAAGCTCATCGCCGAGGGTGTGCCCTGTGCCGCTGAGTATGTTTTGCCTGAGGACAAGCGCTAGTTAACACTTAGATCGAGTGTCACTTGCTAGTCAGCTGGCCTTCCAGCTGAAAAGTTGAAACTTGGGGAGGGGTGTGAGAAAAATGTGCTTTTACTGTGTGCTTCACTGTGTGCTGTGCTGTGCTGTGCTGTTCTGTGCATGCTGCCTTGTTGCAAAATTGTTTGCTTCTCTTGCTGCATCATGTTCCTTGCAACTGCCAGGTACAGATTGACGATGTGATGGTCTGAAGCTGGCCTGCTAGCACAGACAAGCAGCACAACAAACACAAGACAGCCACGCGCAGCACACAATAGAAGCACAAGACAGAGCGACAACATGCATCCTCAAGCATCAAACACCTTGCAGTTCACTTGGATATGCGTTGTACAGACTCCCAAAGGCTTTTGTGCCTAATTCGTCCCGAAACTTGTGCGAACATGCGCTGTCATCAAAGGCGTGCAATGTTGAAGATGTCCCTCTGAATGCTTTCTCTGACCCCGCTTATTGAAACATCTGATTTGATTTTGGTTAACATCCGGTTGCAACAACACGGGTTTTCTAACTGCTAGTTCTGGAAAAACAATATTCTAACTGCTAGTTTTGCGCGATGGTAAATTTTTTTGAAAAAATTAAAAATGTACTGGGCGGAGGGTAAACGCCAAAAAAAAAATATTCTAACTGCTGGGTCGCCACTATACTAGGGTTTAGGGTTTAGGGATAGATTAGGGCTTAGGGTTTAGGTTACCGGATATGGGGGTTTACGAAAATTGGAGTACCCTTTTTGGGGCTTCCTTCCCATTGCCATAGTAAGGGTTATACCATTTGGGGGGTATATACAGGGTACCCCCCCCCCCCCCCCCTTCTTGGGGAAATGCCCAATGTGGCAGACACACGAAGCTTCTCCCGCTTGGCGCTTCTTAAGTTGAGGGTTTAGGATTTAGGGTTTAGGGTTTAGGGTTGCTGCCTAAACACAGAGCCCCCTTGCTACACATTGCGGCCGAATACTTGTACATCGGCCCCTAAACCCTGCGCCGCAACCCCTCAAACCCTCAACCCTACTCACCCACCCCCCCTTTAGGCCCAAAACTACCCGCCCTAGACCCTAAGCACTAAACCCTGAACCCTAAATCCTAAACTCTAAGCCCTGACCCTTATAACCCCGAACCTGAACCCTAAACCCTGAAACCCTAACCCTAAAAAGTCCAATCCCTACTTAAAAGGCCCGGCGACCCTGGCCCGACGTGAGCTTGTCGATCCTGCCCGCGATTCTTTCCTGGACGGAAGGTGGCCAAGGGAGCGTAAGTCAGTAGTCTAGGGCCTCTAGCCTAGGGATTAAAGTTTAAGGTTACAGTTTCCTCAAACCCCAAACTCTGAAACCCCAAACCCTTAAAACCCTTAAAACCATAAGCTAAACCCTCAACCCTACGAGCCCCAAGACTCGTGGCTTTTGAGCACCGAGGTTTCTGGCTCCCCCTCCCTCTCTCTGGGGTTCATCGATTTATGAGGCGTGTCAGGCCTATAGCGTCGAGTCTATCTCTCTCTCTCTCTCTCTCTCTCCTCTCTCTGTCGTTCTTTCATGAATTGGGTTCGTCACATCTTCATCGACGTCTTTCCGTCTTTCTTTCTTTCTTTCACTTCCAGTCCTGGCCCGCCGCAAGCTTTTCCAGCTCCGCCGTCAGATGCCCATGGCCTGACCTCGGGTCTTCAAGACGAGCGAAGGGGTGGAGAAGAGGCTGGAGACATGTAGGGCTGCGGTTTAGTGTTAAGGGCTTAGGGTTTAGGGCACGGCCTCGGTTTCAGGATTCAATCTGGGCTAGGCTGTTTCATTTATGCTCTCTCCCTCTCTCAAAAAAGGGCGGGGGGGAGGAAGGGGGAGGAGGTAGCCACGTGCTAGGAATCCGGGTCTGCTTCTGAATGCAAATGACCGAAGCAGCGCCTATGAAGGATTGTCCAGGAAGCCTTTTTTGTAGGGTTCTCAAGGGAGGGCGGTTCAAGGGGTGTGGGAAACCCAAGGTTCCCGAATACTCCCCACTACCCCCTAAGGCTCCCTAAGCTTCCAGCTTTTCGGAGTTCGGAAATGGGATGTTCCCCCTTGTACGAACAGTCCATAATCGAGGGATTATCGTACCCCCTATGAAAATCCCCACTCAAAATCTGAAATAGACTAGACCAAAGGACTGTTAGTGTAAGGGGGAACATCCCAAGTTCGGAACGGTTTAGGGTTTCTAGGGTTTATAGGGTTCATAGGGTTCATAGGGTTTAGGGTTTAGGGTTTCGGGTTTAGGGTTTAGGGTTTGGCGGGTCATCTAGGGCTCCGTGTGCGGGGGCGCGGGCGTCTGCTTCTCCGACACGGCCTCGAGGCACCTTTGGCTTGAGCCCAGCCTGGGAGGGTTTAGGGTTTAGGAGTTTAGGGTTTAGGGTTTAGGGTTTAGGGTTTAGGGTTTAGGGTTTAGGGTTTAGGGTTTAGGGTTTAGGGTTTAGGGTTTAGGGTTTGGGAGTTTAGGGTTTAGGGTCCTAGGGTCCTAGGGAGTTTTTTTGTAGGGATTTAGGGTTTAGGGTTTATAAGGGGAAAACACATCAGGATGGCCGAAGAGCAGGATGGCCGGATAACTTCGACGAAGACTCGGGATACCAACGGGCCGAGACGAAGTTCGACGAAGGCCGGGGGGCCGGGCGAAGGTTCGACGAAGGCCGGGAGGTTCGACGAAGGGAGAGGGGGTTCGACGAAGGCCGATAGAAAAGGCCAAGACAAAGCCCAAAAAAAAGCGCGAGGGTTCGACGAAGGCTAAATGAACGCCGGAGGTTCGACGAAGGCCACAAGGGCCGGGAGGGGGGTTCGACGAAGGCCAAGGCTTTCGACGAAGGCTATGGGGGTTCGACGGCCTTTGCCGAAGGCCGTGTGCCATCCGCCCCCATACGCCGTCCTGATCGGTTTGCCCCTGAGTTTAGAAGGTCAGGTCTCGATAATATGGTCCCTTCTAGGTGCTCCGAAATAAGAGGGGCCCGCCTTATAATCAGGACGCCAAAAGGAACAATGTGTGAGAGAAGCGACCACATAGGCTTGTAGAGGGTCTGGCCTTGTAGAGTGTTTTAACATGTTTCTGTAGGGCTTTCGGGCTTTTGGGAGGTTTAAGGTGTCGGGTTTTGCAGGGTTTCATAGCGTGTAGACAAGGTTTTTTATCGGTACCCGGCAAAAGGTTGTAGAGGGGATACTGAATAAGTACCCTCCTCAGAACTCAGCAGCCAAGAACTTCTTATTGTTTCTAGATCGTGTTGTCTAGGGCCTTCATAACTAGAATAGGGTTTTGGGGGGCTCAGTAAACCCTAAACCCTAAACCCTAAACCCTAAACCCTATAGTATAGTCATAAAAAGAGGCCAGAAGGGAAGACTACTACAAATTATTATTCTGACCCCTGTATTAACAAAGAGGGGCTTCCCGCAGCCAGGTGGCCGCTCCACAACCAAGTCCATGCTCTTGGCCAGGTTCTCCTTTTAGGGTTTAGGGTTTAGGGTTTAGGGTTTAGGGTTTAGGGTTTAGGCTACCGAGAAGGTTGCAGGGCGCAAGCACACGAAAGCCCTTGGACCCTGAACCCTGAACCCTAAACCCCTTGAAACTGGGACTCTGCAAACTCTGTGGCTTAGGGTTCTTAGGTCTTGAACACCTTTCTGACTTCTTGAGGACCTAGACCCTAAACCCCAAATCTCAAACCCTAAACCCTCTAAACCCTAAACCCAAAACCCTAAACCCTAAGCCCTAATCCCCAAACCCTAAAGTATGCGAATATATCAACACAATCATATGTATGTATATACATATATATAGCATATTTCCATATATTCATACAATCAATAATAATCATAATCATAGTAATAGTAATCATCATACAGCAGAAAAATAGTATTGAAAATAGAATATGCAAAACTTAGTTTGCGGTTGTTCACACTTCTCGGAGGAGAGGGAGAGCGGGATCTAGGGAAGTCAGGATTAGGGTGGCGAGATATTCTCGAAATTCGGTCGCATGTTTGCAGGGATCATCAACAAGGGACTACCATTTAAGTTTAGGGTTTAGGGTTTAGGGTTTAGGGTTTAGAGGGTTCAGGGCCGATTTGGGTGTAGGAGTTGAGGAGTGGCATGGTTCGGGGGTCTTTAGACGTTCTGTTTGCATATGGTTGCAGGGTTCCTAGGGTTCTATACAGAGCAGGACAACAGCCTCCCCTAAACCCGGGCTAACACCCTGAGTCCCAAACGTACCCCAAGCTCCATGGAACCGCTTATTAACCGGAAAACCTAGATAACCGCCTCTCCCCCCCCCCCCCCCCAGAGCGCGAGCCAGGGAACACTTAAACCCTGAACAATAACCCCTAAACCCTAAACCCTAAACCCTAAACCCTCTAACCCTCTAAACCCTCTAAACCCAAAGCCCTAAACTCGCTCTCTCAGCCCTACATCCGCATGTGGTGCACACCTGGCCCACGGCCAACATGTTCCACATGCCTTGGCACAAGGGCTTGTCTTGCTTCAGGCTTCAGGGGTTTAGGGTTTAGGGTTTAGGGTTTAGGGTTTAGGGTTTAGGGGAACTTCAGGGTATTTACGGTCGAGGGTTCTGGGTTTGGGGTTAAGGGCCCTAAACCCTAAACTCTTCACCCTGAACCCTAAAGTCTCAACACCTTGCCTTGAGGCTCTAGTGTTTAAGGGTCGGTGGGCTCCCGGACCCGACTTTGAGCCCGAACTACAACAGAGCTTCGGGTTCAGTTTTAGGGTTTAGGGTTTAGGGTTTAGGGTTTAGGGTTTAGGGTTTAGGGTTTAGGGTTTAGGGAATGCAATCCCTCTCGCTTCGGAGTTCGGGATGAAGGGGTATGTAGGGCCTAGCTCGGTTTGGGGTAAAGCTGGGTTAAGGGTTTAAAGGCCCAAACCCTATAAACCTAAACCCCCGACCCTTAACATCTCTTAACCAGAACTCATTTCGGGAGAGTGCCGGCCTCAGGGTTATACAGGGTTGATGTAGGGATTTGTTGACTTTTGCTCAGGCCGTGCTGGAGCGAGCTTCCACACCCGAATCCCTCCTTAGGTTCCTCTTTCCTTCCACCCCAATACTCAGCTCCCCAAGCCCCAAACCCTAAACTCCCTAAACTCCCTAAACTCCCTAAACTCCCTAAACTCCCGACATGCCCTAAACTCCTGAACGCCCTAAACTTCGCAAACCGGTTTTTTGGGCTTGAGGAAGTTCAGAGGGTTCCTGAAACCCATGAAGCCCTTCGAACCCACAACTCTCTAGACCGTAAGCTTATAAACCCGAAACCCGAAACCCGAAACCCGAAACCCTAAACCCTAAACCCTAAACCCAAAACTCTAAACCCTAAACCCTAAACCCACAGAGATCATGCCAAAGCGCGATGCATGTCGCACTCCAACTCAAGCAGCTCCCGCCTTGAGCCAGCAAGGCGGAACTCCCCAAAGTCACCCCCCCGGCTGAGGATGTTTTAAGGGGGTTAGGGTTTAGGGTTTAGGGTTTAGGGTTTAGGGTTTAGGGTTTAGAGTTTAGGGTGGGCTTATTCACAGGATTGAGGGCCGTGGACGACTTCCAGGTTATGCTCTGGCCCTAGCAATCCTGCACGGGTTGAGGCACTGGAGGGCTGAAGCTTGGCCCTTCAATCCTTAGATGCGAAAGCCTGAAAGGCCTAAGGTCCCTAGAGGGTTTCGGGCTTCGGGTTTAGGAGTTTGGAGTTTAGGGCTTTGAGGTTTCGGGTTTAGGGTCTAGGGTGCCTGGACCCTATAAACCCGAAACCCAAACTCGGATCGTTGTGGTGCTCCCTCTGTGTGCTCGTATGGCACTGAGCTCTAGACCCTGAACCCCCCCAAACCCTATGCCCTGCAAAGCTGGAAACTATAAATCCTGACCCTGTGAATCCTAAACCCCCAAACCCTCATCCCCTCATCCCCAAAACCCCAATCCCCAAACCACAATCCCATATCCCAAACCCCAAACCCTAAACCCCAAACCCCTAAACCCGAAACCCGAAACCCGAAACCCTAAACCCTAAACCCTAAACCCTAAACCCTAAACCCTAAACCCCGCAAGTCTTCGAGCTCCCCCAGCCTCTCCGCCGGGCCCGGGAGCATGCGCTGCAAGCCACGCGCCAGGGAGCAGAAGCCCAGGGTTCCCCAGGGTTTAGGGTTTAGGGTTTAGGGTTTGGGGTTTAGGGGTTAGGGTTTGGGGTTTAGGGTTTAGGGTTTGAGGTTTGGAGTTTAGGGTTTGGGGTTTGGGGAGTTGGGGGTTGGGAGTTTGGGGGACGGTTTCGGCATTTAGTTAGGAAATGCTGAAGGGTTTGGGGTTTAGAAACTTAGGAATCTAGGGTTTGGTGTTGGGTGCCTTATGAAGGGACCCTTGAAAGGTATGCAAGGGCGATATGGGCGTTGCTTAGGTTTGTTGTGGACTACGATTAAGGGGTATCAGGAGGGACCCCTAAAAGGGACCCTTAATCTTATTCCCCTAGATATCCCTATACAAACCTTGTATAGTCCCACATAGTCTCTATATACCTAAGTAGCCCCCGAAATAACCCCTGAGCAACCCCTAAGGTCCCTTTTCAGGGTCGCTCCTTTAGTGCCTTGATGCAAAGGTCGTGCTCTAAAGCCAGAAAACGCCCTGCGCATCCCTAAAGTCAAATGGCCGTGTACCAAAACCCCCGATTGTCGCGGACAGCGCGCGAAACCATCTGTTACAGACCTATATGTAGCGCCCGTCTTGATACAGACCTCTGTCGCGCGCATGCACGACTGGAAGCCAAAAGGGGAAACAAGACAACAACAAGCCGGTCTGTCGCAAAACCCCGGGCATTAATACATACCCTATGTAGCGGGGTATGTCGCGTGTGTGGGCCACGACCCTGTTACAAGCAATTAATATTGGCACACGGCCAAATATCCAAAGCTCCCCAAAGCAGCCCCGCAAGACGTAAACCCTGAACCTCCTTCCCCTCAAAACTCCCAAAACACAGGGTTTAGGGTTTAGGGTTTAGGGTTTAGGGTTTAGGGTTTAGGGTTTAGGGTTTAGGGTTTTCGGGTTTAGGGTTTAGGGTTTAGAGATAAAAACACCACAAACGCCGGGACCTGGAATCAAAAACCCTGCCGAAGTGTCCAGACTGCTGGACGTCCGCCATCCTGAAGCAAGAAGCCCGCAAACTCTCGAAGTTCAGACACCCTGAAACTCCTAAACCCTAAACCCGAGCCCTAAACCCTGTACACATGATTCTTAGAGTTAGGCACTCAGGGGTTTGGGGGTTGATGTGAAAGGTGTGTAAGAGGGAGAGCCCCCTAAGCCACAAGTCAAAACGCCGCAGCAACGACGAGAGAAAAAGTTCTATCTGACCCCTAAACCCTCGACTCTCTAGTGAAGCGCACGACGGTTTGGGGAGTATGGTTTAGGGCTTGCAATCCGAAACTCACTAAGCCAACAGAAACTACTGCATGTAAAGCCAGACCATTAAGCAGGTATCGGTGCATAACCATTGCTTGCTCATCCTTTCTGATACCCTCAAGTCTAAGGCTAGGGTGTCGGGTCGGTAGGGTTGGGTTCTTGGGTTTTTTTCATGGGGCAGGCTCTTGCAAATGAACTCAAGGCCGAGCGTTGAACCTTACACCCTCACATGTGATCTGGCATGTCTTGCAGGTAGTTTTTAAGAATCCAGTTGCCGGGTGCCCATGTGGTTAACTTTAAAGGGGTACTGAGGTGGGTACCAGACTGCACGAGGATGTGAAAGGACCCGGGAACCTCCCAACCGAAAACCTGAATTCAAAACCATAGAGCCCTGTACAACCCTAAGCCCTTTGTAAGCCTTCAGGCCGATAACGCCGTAAGCGGCGAATGCTCACGAAAAAATCGCCTTCGGAACAGCAGAGGCTGGAACACCTTTCTACAGCTTTCATCCCCTAAACCCCTACAAGTCACTCTAAACCCTTAACACCCTTCGAAGCAGTCTAAAACCCTCAACCCTCAACCCCCCAAAGCCTTCCCCCAAAAAACGGCCTCATGAGGTGGAGGAGGTCATGGTCCGAGATCTGCAGATCCTTCAGGAGGAGCCTGAGGCACCTTCCAGGGCGTGGGGCTTAGGGTCTTTGGGGGGGTTTGGGGGGTTTGGGGGGTTTTGGGGGGTTTGGGGGGTTTGGGGGGTTTGGGTTGTGGGGGCTTTGGGGGTTTGGGTTTGGGGTTTTGGGACTAGGGTTTGAAGATCGGTGGTCAATCTCATTCTCGTTGTGGATTCTCAGAGCGTTTGGGGTCGAGGATGTGCGTTCGCTTGGAGTTGCTGCACGCTTCGCAGCTGATCTTGCACGCTGCTGCTGTCGCCACCACGGCAAGAACTTGCCCAGGTAACAACAGATCTATCAGGTAAGATGGCAGCAAAAGCATCGTGGGAAGCATGGATTCGTTGAACGATTCTTGGCTGATCTTGCACGCTGCTGCTGTCGCCACCGCAGAAAGCATTTGCCCAGGCAACAACAGACCCATCAGCTTGCAGCAAATGCAGGACGACAAGCTTGGATTTGCTGCACGCTTTGCAGCTGGTCTTGCACGCCGCTGCTGTCACCGCCGGAGCACGCGTTTCCCCAGTCACGACAGATCCATCAGCTACGATCGCAGCACATGCATCGTGAGAAGCCTGGATTTGTTGCTTGCCATGTAACTGATCTTGCACGCCGCTGCTGTCACCGTCGGAGGAATTTCCCCACGTCACGACCGAGACAACTGCTAGGATCGCAGCAAATGCTGCGTGAGAAGCTTGAACGTGTTGCACGCTTTTGAGCTCACCTTTCATTCCGCTGCTGTCGCCACCTCTGGCATGATCCCCATGCTTTATTGGGTATACGGCTCAGGGTTTCGGGTGTTTTGGAAAAAGACACATAGGCGTCTCGAGGGTTGTCGGATCAGTCATCGGGCCGCAAAACCGTGAATGCGTCATCCTCGATAGTGTACCAGTGCGATCTCAAGCTTGTTAATTAAAGACCCCAGAAGTAGCCGCGGTTCAAGGTTCGGATACGGTTTCACTGGTACTGTTAAGGCACTTATCAAGGACATGCAAAAGCCCTTAAACCCCAAACCCCCGAACCCCAAAGGCCTACACCCTGAACCCCACCCTCCCTGCACCTTCCCTTCTCGTTGTCCAGATCTGCCCGCGTCAGCTCCTGTGTACCTGGGTTTGTTGGTTCGGGTTTAGGGTCTAGGGTCTAGGGTTTAGGGTTTATAGGGTTTAGAGTTCAGAGGTCAGGGTCTAGGGTCTAGGAGCTTGGGTCTGTAGGCTTTAGGGTTTGTTGGGCATCCCCCGGGCCAGCAACAGCCATCCCTGAAATTTCGAAAGGGGGGTTAGGGTTTAGGGTTTAGGGTTTAGGGTTTAGGGTTTAGGGTTTAGGGTTTGGGGTTTGGGGTTTGGGGTTTGGGGTTTGGGGTTTGGGGTTTGGGGTTTGGGGTTTGGGGTTTGGGGTTTGGGGTTTAGGGTTGAGGGTTGAGGCTTTAGGGTTTAAGGTTAGGAAGGTTTGGGTTAAGGGCCCCATCTCTTAGTGCTCTCAGTTTTGGGGGTTCGCACTCTCTCACGGGGAGACACACCTACACACAGACATACACACACACACACACAGACGCACACGCAGACACAGACGCAGACACAGACGCCGACAGTACACACAGGCAGACAGAGACCATCAGCACCCCAGCGCCCACAACCAGAGCTCAAAGACCCTGAATTAACAACCTCAGGCCAATCAAGCCCCCACACAGCCACTACACCTTAGTTGCTGAGTTCATAAGCCCCAAAGAAGTGTAAACTTTCAGTTCTATAGGGGATCAAGTATAGTATCCCCAAAAGTGTAAAGTGTTCTCACTCAGCTACTAAGATACCCCCCCCCCCAAAAAAAAAAAAAAATCCCCTAAATCCTAAACCCTAAACCCAAAGCCCTAAGCCCTAAGCCCTAAGCCCTAAACCCTAAACCCTAAACCCCAAAATCCCAAAACGCCGTGTAGATCAAAGAGGACCCAGCCACCATCTTCGCCCAGGCGTCGGCAAAGTTCTTGGATCCGCTTCCCTTGGCTTCTCAGCCGCTGCCTGCCGAGGGCTTAGGGTTAAGGGTTAAGGGTTAAGGGGTTAGGGTTTAGGGTTTAGGGTTTAGGGCTTAGGGCTTAGGGCTTAGGGGTTGGGTTTTAGGGTCTCTAGGGTTTTGGTTAGGGTTATAAACCAACCCTAAACCATAAACACTAACGCCTACAGTAGAGGTGACCATAGAGTGTAGGGTGGGTGCGGGGTCTAGGTAGATTACGTCTTTAAGGGGACCTACCTATGCAGCGACTCTAGTGTGACTTGTTCGGGTTGCCCCTGGAGGAAACATCCCAAACTTCGGGTCAAGTATCCTGGATGTGGCGAAGCACAGCTTGGTTTGGGGGGGGGGAAGGGGGAAGGGGGAAGGGGGAAGGAGGAAGGGGGAAGACCCTTAAAAGGGCCCAATGGAGCTCTAGGGTTGAAGGTCCCAAAAGGAGCTTTCAGGGCTGAGGTTTGAGAGCAAACTCGGCTCTCCCGACTGCTTGGTCCCAAGGGTACCACACTGCCCTGAGAACCCTCATCGGCAGAATGCGTGAGTCGCGATTGTGTCCCCCGCAAATCCAAAAAAAAACAAACAACGTTGACCTTAAACTCTCCCTAAACCCTATAAACCCTAAACCCTAAACCCTAAACCCTCAACTTGCCCTAAACCCTACATCCTAAACCCTACATCCTACATCCTAGACCCTAGACCCTAAACCCCAAACTCCACCAACTTACCCTGTGGGCCTGGGAAGAACGTCCAGGGCCGACTCGACCACCACGGCGGCCAGCAAAAAGAAGAGCATCAGGTGCCCCAGGAGGACGAACAAGAGCCTCGGGTTGAAGGGCGTTTAGGGCCCTTAGGGGGGGGGGGGGGGCTTGCAGAACCCCCCCCCACCCAGCCGGGCACCGCACCAAGTCGCCCTAGACCCTAAACCCTAAACCCTAAACCCCAAAACCATAAACCGTAAAGTTAGTTAGCATAGTATGGGGGCCAACACTCGAGGGTTCGAGAGCTTAAGAGGCTTCGTGGCGGGCTTGGGGTAAAAGCGCTCTATATGGATTTGAAATCTAATATAGGGGCCTCAATAATTGAAATAGGGTTTTGGGGGTTATTATACTACAACTATCTAGGGGCCATCAGGGAATACCATTAACCCCTCTTACCTTGGCAACCCGCATCCCGTGAAGCCGTGCGCTCAGATGGCTTGGGGCTGGTCATGACGTAGCTCCTTTCACATCCCAGCTTGAAAAAGAAGGTAAAAAAATATCGGGATTTAAGGGAGTTTTTTGCAAACCCTTCAAAGCACCACCCTAAACCCTAAACCCTAAACCCTACAAGCCCTAAACCCTAAACCCTATAAGCCCTAAACCCTAAGCCCTAAGCCCTAAACCCTAAACCCTAAACCCTACAAGCCCTAAACCCTAAACCCTAAACCCTAAACCCTAAACCCTAAACCCTAAACCCTAGACCCAAGGCAACCCGAGCTGCATGAAGATGGCGACGGCCGTGCCTGGCTCGCCACGGGCCAGGAAGTAGCGGACTGCGGGCGCGTAGTCCCCCGCCGTAGCGAAGCTAAAGAACGTGACGAGGCCCTCCCCGACAGATCATGGAGTGAGGGGTCTGCGCACTTTTTCGGCTACATCATGTCTTCATTTCTTTCGCTAGTTCTTTCTGTGTCGTAGTTTATTTGTTGTATGTATGTTGTTTCTTTCTTTGTATTGATTTCGCGCTCTCTCTCGCTCTCTCTCTCTCTCTCTCTTGTTTCATTTTTTCCGCTCTCTCTCTCTCTCTCTCTTATGGTGTATCTTCACTTGTGTTATATCAGCCTAAACCCTAAACCCTAAGTTTGGAAACCCCACATGGATAGAGCTCTCCGCTCCGGGCGCCTGGGGCAGGCCAGTGAAGAGGTCGGCCGCCTGTGCAAGCCATTAAACCCTAAACCCTAAACCCCAAACCCTAGGGTTTCGGGTTTAGGGTTTAGGGTTTAGGGTTTAGGGTTTAGGGTTTAGGGTTTAGGGTTCAGGGTAGGTCCTATAGACTCTAGACCCTAACCCTGAACCCTGAACCCTAGGACCTATAAACCCTGAACCCGCTTGGGGGAGACCTGCCACCCTCGGCCCTCTGATGGACTACAGAACGCAACCCGGCCACGCAGGTCGAGAACAATCTGCAAAAACCGATACCCTCCAAGCGCCCAACAAAAGCCCGCCCAGAGGGCCATTTGTGGTGCTGTTCTGGAATTCGGTACCCCTTAACGGTCTTATCACGCAAAACTCTCCTGAGACCCTAAACTGATCCCACCTCTGCATCTGCCCGCTCGCCGCCGGCAGTGGAGTTGCCTAGCAGCTTCTGGCGTAGGCTTCTACAGCCTAAGCTACGGTCGTACAGACAGCGAAGCCGACCCTTGCGCACTCCTGAGTCTTGCCTCAAACGGCCCGCGTCTCCACAAAGGTCAGCTGGAAAGCTAAATAGCGGGCAAGGACGGTATCATAACAGGGACCCTACAAACAGAGACCGCCATGTTGAGAACCGACCAACATGACCAGGTGTTCTGAATTTGGGCCTTCTCGCCCATAGTCAAACACAACCGCCTCCCCCAGAACTCTTAAAGACCCCTTGCATCAACGCTGAAATCCCGAGCCTGAAGCACGAGACCCCGAGCATCCTAAATCCTTCCAAACCTGAGCTCCGAATAACCCTAGACTTCCAGGGACCTATAATCATTGAGTCCTTAACAGTTCTGGTAACCTAACTACTAGGTCCCTAGTAGAGGGTGACACCAAACCCTAAACCCTAAACCCTAAACCCTAAACCCTAAACCCTGAACCCTAAACACTAAACCCTAAACCCTAAACCCTAAACCCGCCCTGTGAGGCTGCTGGGGGCTGCCTCCCTGTAATTCCTCCGGAAAGCTCAGAAAGTTGGCCGACAGGGCAGCCGCGGCGTAGACCAGGCTGCCCTTGGTTGATCATACTAACCCTAAACCCTAAACCCTAAACCCTATACCCTAAACCCTAAACCCTAAACCCTACACTCAAGCCCGCAAAGAGCCCCAAAGTCTCAGGCCCAAAGCCCCAACCCCCCTGTTCATGCCGACTAAGGCTTGTAAGGCTTCGACTACGTCCCGAATAGCCTAAGAATGAAGCTTACAAATGCTTCTTGAAATGCTGTATGGTTCCATGGCAAAGATCTATAGGGTTTATCGGTTTATTGTATGGCGCAGCGACAGCACCTTCTGTTAAGAAAATCAGCGGATGAAGAAGCGAGCACCATCAGAAGGCCGCGCTAAGGAAGAGAGCAATACTGAGCTGTGAAGTAGGAACTTAAGCTGCGGTTTGGGGTTGAGGGTTTTCGAATGCAAGGTTTCATGGGTCTGAAAGGTGAGCCGCGTAGGGCTTAGGGTTTAGGGCTTAGGGCTTAGGGCTTAGGGCTTAGGTCTTAGGGCTTAGGGCTTAGGGTTTAGGGTTTGGGGTTTAGGGTTAGTTTAGGGTTTAGGGTTGAGGGCCGAGGGTTTAGGGTTTAGGGGAACACGTTAAAGCCTTACTTTGAACCCCTCTACCCCAGGATCCCAGCGGAGCCCGCCGCATCCTGGTGGGTGTGAGGTGAGTTTACAAATTGCCGACATGGGTTTAGGGTTTAGGGTTTAGGGTTTAGGGTTTAGGGTTTAGGGTTTAGGGTTTAGGGTTTAGGGTTTAGGGTTTAGGGTTTAGGATGTAGGGTTTTGGGTTTAGTGTGGGTTGGTTTACAAGGAATCTGAGACCTAAGAAACAAGGCCAGTCTATCAAGTGATATAGGCGTCGGAAAAAAAACGAATAGTATCCCCTCCAGGGTCCCTATATCATAAGTGTGCGAAACCCTAAACCCTAAACCCTAAACCCTAAACCCCAAAACTCCCACTACGGCCCCTCTATTGGTTGGGAGCTCAGAGGCTGCGGAGGATTCGAAAAAATTCTCTTGAGGTCCTTGAGAACTGTCAGGCTGCAGGTGTAGCTTAGGGTTTGGAGTTGGGTTTAGGGTTTAGGGTTAGGGTTTAGGGTTTAGGGTTTCGGGTTTAGGGTTTAGGGGCTGCTGATACGTTCCGAAGCCTTCGCATTGAGCTGTAGGATATACACCAATTCAAGGTTTGGCAGACAGCTCAAGCTGCTTGAGGTCCAGGGCTTCCCAAGAACCTATTATTGGGGGGTGAAGAGTTTTAGCACCTCGCCCCCCGGGATTCTCACCCTAAACCCTAAACCCTAAACCCTAAACCCTAAACCCTAAACCCTAAACCCTAAGCCCTAAACCCCTGGCCACCGAAGGCTGCATCGCCCCAACACACCACCGACCCATCGGCCAAGATCGCAGCAAAAGCTGCGCTGGAAGCCTGGATCCTTGGTAGCCCAGTAGCCACAGGGTTTAGGGTTTAGGGTTTAGGGTTTAGGGTTTCGGGTTTAGGGTTTAGGGTTTAATGATGGCACCCTTTTTTGGGGTGGCTATTTTATAAGGGAACCTTGAACCCCCCCCCCCAAAAAAAAAAAAAAAAAAAAAAGGAAAAGGGTAGCACCGGGGCTACCAAGGATCTGCTGCACGTCCTTGAGCTGCTCCTGCACCGCCCGGCAATCGCCGCCACTGGCGGGATCGCCCCAGGCGACCACAGATCCGTCACCCAGGACAGCCTATACTCCCCTTTAAGAATCTTGCTAAGAATCATATGCTTGATATCCTCTTGGGGTTTATTGTATGAATTAAAAAAAACATGAATCCCAAAAATAAAAGCAAATCCCAAAGGGGGGGATTTAGCAGCAGCAAAGGCGGAGTGCGAAGCTTGGACCTGTGCCACGTTATTGAGCCGCTCTTCCAGGCAGCTGGCTCGAAGTAGAGGATCGCCCCATGTCACCACAGATCCTAGACAGTAACCTAGAACTAGAAATAAAAAAGGCACCCTTTTTGGTTATAAGGGGATGATAAGGGAGCCCCTATAGACCCTAAAAAAGGTGAAAAAAGGGGCCTACTCCCGGTCCCAGGATCCATCCCGCAGGAGCGCAGCAAAAGACTCCTCGGCAGCCTGGATCTGCCGCACCTCCTTCAGCCGATGTTGCACGAGGTGGCTGTCGCCACCATGGAGCGCATCGCCCCAAGTCACCACGGACCCGTCAGCAAGGAGGGCAGCAAAAGCCCGGCAAGAAGCCTGAATGTCTTGCACACCTTTCCTATACCGAACTTGGCACCCGAGCAAAAACTATAATTTTGGCTGTTCCTTAGGAAATATAGTAACTAAAAGATTACAAACATATTTCCAAGTACCCCTAAGTTTCAGCCGAGCCTGCACACCAGTGCTGTCCCCACCGAAGTCGGCATGGCCCCAGGAGACGACAGATCCATCAGCTAAGAGCGCCGCAAAGGCTCCGTACGATGCTTGGATTTGCTGCACATTCTTGAGCTGCTCTTGCACACTACTGCTGTCACCACCGTAGCCTGCGTTACCCCAAGTCACCACACGGCCATTGTCCAAGATCGCAGCAAAATCTGCAGAAGAAGCTTGAATGCGCCGCACATTCTTGAGCTGATGCTGAACGCAACGACTGGCGGCACCATAGCTTGCATCACCCCAGGTCACCACACGTCCATCTCCCAATATGGCAGCAAAACCTACAAACGAAGCTTGGATCTGCTGTACATTCTGCAGCTGCTCTTGCACAGCACTGCTGTCTCCTCCCAGGTCGCAGTTGCCCCAAGTCACGACAGATCCATCACGCAGGAGGGCGGCAAAAGCTCCATAGGAGGCTTGCACATGCAGGACGTTCTTCAACTGATCTTGCACGGCACTGCTGTCGCCACCATAACCCCGATCACCCCATGCCACCACGGACCCATCGGCTAGAATGGCCGCAAAGGCTGCATGAGAAGCCTGGATCTGATGCACAGCCCGCAGCCTCGCTTGCACGGCCGTGCTGTCGCCCCCAGAAATAGCAGAGCCCCAGGTCACGACAGATCCATCGCCTAGAACTGAGGCGAACGCTGCCCCCATCCGAAAGGCCAGGTGCTTATCCATGCACGTCCCCATTGAAGCTATGACTTGGGTCTGCCGCACGTGCAGGCAGAGCACGTCGCCGTTCTGCAGTCCTATCTGCTTAATGCTTTGGGATCCATCCAGTGTATCTCCCTGCGCATTCACGAGCTTTCCCTTGCCAACAGCCAGAGCCTCCTGCGCACGGGAATTTAAAGTGTCCACGGAAGCATCTGCCGGCACCACCACGGTGGCACTCTTGCCGCTCAGCAGGTGCACGTCAATCGACATGAGCATGATGCCGCTACACAAGCGCAGACTTGCAGAACTTGTAGCTTGTACATATAAGGCTCTTAAGATGCCCTAAACCCTAAACCCTAAATCCTAAACCCTATATACTCTAAAAACCTGATAAACCCTATAAACCCTATAAACCCTATAAACCCTATAAACCCTATAACCCCTAAACCCTAAACCCTCCTTACCTTTCAAAGTACCCCTGAGGTCCCGAACCCCTCCCAGACCCAAGCCTGCTTGTGACTTCCGATGCCAAGAGAGCTCTACTTCGGGTTTAGGGTTTAGGGTTTAGGGTTTAGGGTTTAGGGTTTAGGGTTTAGGGTTTAGGGTCGAGGGTTTAGGGTTTAGTGCAGGGTTTAGGGACGACCCAGGTGCCCCCTGAAAACCACAGACTTGTCGGAGCATCTGTGGTGCAAGCCGGATCTGTAAACGCCCAGGAGGTAAAGACTCAAAGTCTCAAACCCAAGCCCAGGAGACACTAAACTCCAGAAAAAACATGGGGTTTAGGGTGTCGGGTTGGGATGTTCTCCCTTATACTGGCAGTCCTTAAATGGGATTCTAGTACCTCCTATTCTCAATCCCCATTAAGGACGGTTAGTATAAGGGGAAACATCCCAAGTTCCGGGCTTACTGTCTATAGGGCTTGTGGATAGGCTATGAAAGTTGGTCAAGCGGCCAGGAGCACAGCCGCCCACAGCCAGTGCAGCAGTGAGCGGGTGAGGGACCTAGGCTATTTACCTATATGGCTTTCCTTTTTGGGGTGTCCCCCTTTGAAGGGATTTCTATTCTATTTGGGGCAGAAGAAGGGGCACGACCCCATTTGAGAAATACCTATATGTTGGCCACCTCTACTGAGTTAATATACCTTCAGAGACGTGACAGGGCGCCGCTCGGGCTTGGCAAGGTTGCTATGCGAGGTTCGGCTCGGGGGTGAACTTTCCGAACCCCGAATTCCGGCACGACTAAGGTCTCAGCGGGCTCATATACCTTGTAGTTCACGCAGCACAGGGTGTATGTACCCTTTTTAGAATACGATACGACCCACGGGCCCATGCTTCAGAAACCTGTAAAGGAGGCAAGGGACCATATTAAGTGCCATATGGGGGGGTTTCCGAAAATAGAGGCACCTTCTTGGGGTCCGTACTATAAGGGAATCCTACTATTTGGGGGGTCTATATTAGGGGCCCCTTATATTCGTGAAACCCCCCATATAACTACCCTTAGACTGTGAACCACAAACCCTAAACCCTAAACCCTAAACCCTAAACCCTAAACCCTAAACCCTAAACCCTAAACCCTAAACCCTAAACCCTAAACGCCTAAGCCTTTTCGTCCCCAAGCCGAGGTGCCGCAGCAGGTCGCCCAGCGCCCGAACGCAGCGCCCCAGGCGCAGGAGCTGCAGGCAGGGGAGGAGCACGAGGAGGGCGCCTCAAGGTGTGGTTTAGGGTTTAGGGTTTAGGGTTTGGGGTTTGGGGTTTAGGGTTTGGGGTTTGGGGTTTGGGGTTTAGGGTTTGGGGTTTAGGTTTTGGGGCTTGGGGTTTAGGGTTTGGGGTTTAGGTTTTGGGGCTTGGATTAGGGTTTAGGGTTTGGGGTTCAGGGTTTCAGCGGTTTTGGGTCTCGAGCATGTGTCGGGTGCAGGATTTAGGCGAAGCCAGATAAGGGAGGTTCAGAAACTTCGGACTGAGAGGCTTAGGTTGTAGGGTTTGGGGCAAACCCTAAACCCTAAACCCTGAACCCTAAACCCTAAACCCTAAACCCTAAACCCCCACACCCTACACCCTACACCCTACACCCTAAACCCTAAACCCTAAACCCTAAACCCTAAACCCTAAACCCTAAACCCTAAAGGGGCAGCACGGAGCTCTCCTGAGGAGAAGTTGGCTGCGGGGTATAGGGGCACTTCTTCGCAGACAGGGCACGATGCCCCCGAGGCCATGCTAAGCTGAAGATGCAGTCCTCGGCAAGCAGCTGTGGAGGCGTAGGGATTGGGGTTTAGGGTTTAGGGTTTCGGAAGACCCATATAACTGATCCCCCCATATCCCTGGCCTCCTCCCCCTGAACCCCAGACCCTCAATCCCCGCAACCCAAGATCAGAACTGGTTCTTAGCTGGGAGTTGAGTATGAGGTACCACACAGAATCCCTCAAAAGGGTTGAAGAACCTAACCCCCTGAATCCCTACTTAGAACTAGTGAGTTTAGCGCCACACCTGGGATCGGACTGGGCTGCTCGGCGAGCAAAGGGGTTTTGAGGGAACCTAACCCTAAAGAAAAGGGAGTATGGGCCTATTCTGGGTCCTAGGTTCTGCAGGAAGTTGCTCATCGAAATTTTCGGACGTATAGGGCTTTAGCTGTGAGGGTTTGGGGCGTTCGGGGCTTATGGATGCTTCTTGGGCCGCACTGCCCTACTCTCCAAACCCTCAACTCGAACCTAAACCCCCACCCTATAAGACATATAAACCCTAAACTACTATTTGCTTAAGAACCCCAAAAAGCAAGACATACATAATACATACATATATATATATATATATACTCATCCCCTTATACCCTGGGCACAGGTTTTTTTGGGGGGGCGGGGTTCACAAGCGAACGGTAGTAAACCCCGAATTCCTGCTTGCAAAGAAAGCGTCCAGAAGCCCGATGAAGATGGCCAAGGCGTCCAAGACATTCCACGGGTCCCGAAACCCAAGGCTGAGCCTCTCCTGGGTTCAGGATTTTTGAGGTTTATGGGTTTAGGGCTGTTTAGGGTTTAGGGTTTAGGGTTTAGGGCTTAAGGCTTCGGAGGGGTTAGGAATTTAGGAGGGTTGAGGGCTCCGGGAAATTCAAGGTTCAGGACTTTGCACTGTAAGGCTTTGGAGGGCTTAGGGTTTGGAGTTTAGGGTTGAGGGTTGAGGAGGTTTGGAAGGTGTAGATCGCAAGATCGAGAACCGATCAGAAAGCAGCCCAAAAGGGTGCTGTTGACATGCTCCGGGGCCCAACTGGGTTTTTTTTCCCAGCATAAGGGCAACTCGAGTCTACACCCCCAAAACAAAAAAAACAAAAGTTCAAATCCGCATAGGAACCCCAAAAAAGGGGACCCGTGTTTTGGGAAACCCGCAAACATTGCATGTGATGCTGCAACCAGACAGCGGCCCGGGACAGAAGGGTGGGAGAGGAGGCCCTATTCATATCAAGGGCTTGGGGCATTGAGGGTTTGATGCTGGAGAATGTGGGCTTCTTGAAGTTTCCAGATGGGTGGTTCCGAAATTATGCCTTCTGTTTGAGGGGGGGGGGGTTGCAATTGGGGGGGGGGGGGGGGGGGGGGGAGGGGGCTGCGCCATCGTTGATTGGGGGCTGCAGGGATCCGGGAGAGATGGTGATTCTTGTTGCTTGCCGCGACTTACACTTCATGCGGTAGCAGCGCAGAACTGCTGGCCATGAGCAGGTTCCCACGTTTGAATCACCCAAGCAAGCCGATGAATCCACAAAGTCCCTCGCCCCAATGCAGGAAGCATTCAACCACCCGAACTACACCCTAAACCCCCCTAAACCCCCCTAAACCCCCCTAAACCCCCCTAAACTCCCTAAACTCCCTAAACTCCCTAACCTCCCTAAACGCCCTAAACACCCCAAACATCCCAAACACCCTAAACACCCTAAACTCCCAAGCCCTAAACCCTAAACCCTAAACTCCCAAACCCTAAACCCTAAACCCTAAGCCCTAAACCCCAAACCCTAAACCCTAAACCCTAGGAAGAAGGGCGAGCTTCCCAGAAGCCATCTTGGGGCAAGGCAGGCGATGCGAGCTGAAGGTGCCATCGCAGCTCGCAGCAGAAGAAGAGCAGAAAGAACAGCTCCAAAGCCAAGTACAGCCTTGGGGTTTAGGGTTTAGGGTTTAGGGTTTAGGGTTTAGGGTTTAGGGTTTCGGGTTTCGGGTTTCGGGTTTCGGGGTTGGGGGTTTAGGGTGTCTGAAGGCTGCTGCCTTCACTGCCTGGATCGTCGGTATGGTACGATAGAAGCAATTTTGACTATCAGCATGCGAACGGGCACGTGCAAACCTAACGACCAACAGGTGCAGCGTGATGAACATCCTGTAGCAGCAGCTACAGAGCCCGGCATCACCACGCAAGATCTCAAACGTTCAGTCCCAAATCCCTACGCCACGCCCGAACCGAACTGTAAGATACTGAAAGCCCCCCCAAGACCACGCCAGGCCTGGGATTCAAGCAGCTGTCCCCGCAAGATGGCTGATAGGCTCGGAAGGTAGATCTTCACTTCCTCAAGTAAACCCTAACTATAAGACCCGAGAAATCCCCCATAACGCCTTAAAGACCGTTATTATGCACTAGGATATTCTAGAAATATATCATAGAGTGCCCTAACAGAAGTCTAGAAAGAAGCCTGAAGATGAGTGTCAAGCCACTTCAGGCTGGGGGCAAAGGAGGGGAGACGCTAAACTCAATGTCCCTTTAGAGCTACAGTCTCCATTCCCGCGACTTTATGTCCACTTTGTGAGATTCATGAAACGAACATCATACCGAGTCGCCTTGTGGCAGCCTCCTCCCAAGTCTCCGTCGGCCCATAGGCCATGAAGACAAGGAATCCTTAGCTCAAACTCACCTTCATTCTAGGGTCCTTAAGGGACGGGGGTTCAAGGTGGGATATGTAACCCAAGGCTCCCTCGTTCTCCCCACTACTCCCTAAGGCTCCCTAAGCTTCCCCTAAACACCCTATAACTTCAGATTCGGGCTTGCAAACATGTGCAGGATACTGAATCAAGCATTTCACTAGGAGTAAGTAGAGGATAGCGCGGTTTCGGAGATCAGGGGTGAGCTTGGGTGATTTAGGGTTTGGGGTTTACGCTTTCGCATATGGAGCCCGTGAGTTTGGGGCTACGGGGCTCTACACGCTTGGGAGTACGGGGTTTAGGGTTTGGAGTTTAATCATGGTCTTGGTCGATCTTCTGACCCCCTGCTGGGGCGCAATCGTAAGGACGCACTCGCTGTTGGTGTGGGTGGGGGGGGGGGGGGAGCTAAGCAACCCGATATGAGAGCCAAGTATCCGATGTTCACCAGGAGCATCATGACACCTGAGCCAGTGGCTTCCCAGGGAGCAGGTGCATGTGGCATTGGCATCATCGTGGCTTAAGCTAGACCTTCTTGGCCAGGCAGGAGTCCATTGCGCAATTAACATAACAACGAAGGCTTAAACAAAACAAAACAAAGCAAAGCAAAACAAACTGGCATCGACTTTCGGCACGAGCTACATTGCGGGCCCTTTGTTCCAGTCTCCAACACTGTTCACAACTTAGAACAAAACACCCCTCTGTGAAAGTTTTTTCAGGGCTCTGCCATAAACCCCTCCAAGTCCTTGTAAGCTACGTACGGTTTAGGGCACTCAAACCTCAAAATCCATGGATCGAAACTCCTACGAAGGTCGAACTCTTGAAGGGTTCTAACAACAACTTCCAAAATTAAACCCGCACCCCAAAACCCTAACCGATGATGTGGGCTTTTGTATTCCCAAGTTTGTCTCAAAAGGCTACCCACAAATTGTCCCCCACTCAAGTCCGCGGTAAGTGAAAGCCTCCAAAACCCAGCAGAAACCTAAAGCCTATAACCCCAAGCACAAAATCCAACTAAGATAGCCCACGAGGCCCACGACGCCCCAGTAGGCAGTGCTCTTTTCCTCGCTTCTCGCCTCTGGACCAAGATGCTATGGGACGTAGGTTTTCGGGGCTACCCGTTGTCGGAAACCCTAAACCCTGAACCCTAAACCCTAAACCCTGAACCCTAAACCCTAAACCCTATCCTTGAACCCTGAACTCTGAACCCTGAACTCTAAACCCTAAACCCTGAACCCTAACCAACCCTGGATTTGCGTAGCTTTGGTTTTCAAAGATGGAGGAATTCGGGGCATTTGGTGTTAGGGGGCTTCCAGGATGTTCGGGATGCATGGCTGAGGGTTTGGGCTTCTGGGATGAGGGGCGTAGGACTCAAGGGACTAGGGCTCATCCTACACCCTAAATTCTAAACCCAAAACCCTAAACCCAAAGGGGGCCCCTTTGGGATAATCCGGGTTTGCGGGATGGTCTTCTTGGCTGCTGCAGGTCCAGGAGCCACAACATCAGTAGCACCATGTCACCGCGCAGTGCCGAGAGCTGGACTGAGGCTTGCCTTGAGCCTTTCGTTCAGCTCTTCTTGAAGTCCAAGATCGATGGCCTTGCATGACAATAAATCGGCACTGGCTCCCAAAATCGAACGTCAGGACGATCAAAACTCCAAAGTGACGCCATCACCACTGCGATGCAAGTGCAAAACTTTCCAGCTCCAAGGGTCTCGTGTTTCCGCATAGGATCAGAGAGCAAAGTTTACTCTAACGAAGTCTGACAACAGAACCGCGCTGGCTGGTCCCAGAGCGACCTACTAAGACGTGCCGCACTGCAATGATGCACTCATATTGCGAGTGATGGCCATGGCTCCTCGACATTCTCTTGCTTTGCTCATTCAGGCGGTGTGGTGTCCCCTGCCAGCCCTCGACACCCACAGGGGCTTAGGGTCTACGACTTGGGATTATTTTGAATATTTCCAGCCCCCCTTTCATGTTTGTTATATATATATATATTATTATTATTATTTCTATGTTTTTTTTTTTTTTTTTTTGGGGGGGGGGGGGGGGGGGTGGGGGCTTAGGGTTTAGAGCGTTTACAAGTTAAGCCCCCCCCCCATGTGCAAGGAGTGGAGGCGGGCAAAGGGTGCAAACACATAGCGATAAAGGAAACTACCCTAAGCCCTGCAGCCCCAACCCAAAAGAGCCTGAAGCTCCCCTGCATTCTAAGCCATCTGCAAAACACCCGAAACCCAAAACCCTAAAATGCCCTAAAACCCTAAAAAACCCTAAAAAACCCTAAAAAACCCTAAAAAACCCTAAAACCCTAAAACCCTAAAACCCTAAAACCCTAAACCCTAAAAGATTTTTTGCGAGCCAGAGGGCGTCTTCGCAAAAGTTGCGCCAGTCTTCTTTGGACTTGGCATCGAACTGGCCCAGAAATGCCAGGTGTCGAACACCTCGGGTGCCCTATGGTCGGGGTTTAGGGTTTAGGGTTTAGGGTTTAGGGTTTAGGGTTTAGGGTTTGGGGTTTGGGGTTTAGGGTTTGGAACATCATCCACCTGTGTCGCTCAGGTGCCTTGTGGAGGGAGCCCAGAGTCACCGAAGAATGAAGAATGGTTTGGGTGTTAAACCCTATACTTTAGGGTTTAGGGTTTAGGGTTGCCTAGGAATAACATGGGTACCTTTTCTACTTAAAAAAAAAGGCGTCTAAGCGAACCTGAACCCCAAAAAGAGGGAACAAGGGCCCACTCTGGGCCCTGGAGATTCATTTTTGGGGCTCCTGGGGACACTGGACAGAACTAAGTAGCTCGTTTACGGGTGATGCGCCCTCGGCCATGTTGGCAGTTCAGATGGCTCAATGCCCCCACACGCTAACCCTAGAATCCCCAAAATGAAACCCATCCCTAAACCCCATAAACCCCATAAACCCTAAACCTGTACCCTAAAACCCTCAACCCTAAACCCTAAACCCTGACCCCAACGACCCCTCAAGGTCTTAAAGCGAATTGGGGCGCTACCCAGCACGGGCGGCGCTGCGCCCTCCTCGGGCGCGCACGCGGGCGCCGCCGCGCCCGCCGAGCGAAGGGGCTGCTCCGAAGCCATGGGTTTAGAGGGTTTCGAGGTTTTGTGGGGTCATGTTTGCGTTTAGAGGATTTAGGTTTAGGTGTAGGTTTTAGAGGGTGTAGAGGGTTGTGGGGTTGAGGCTTTAGAGGGTTTGGGGGGCTTAGGGTTGGGTATTTTGGGCTTAGGCCTGTCGGAGCCACGGGGTTCACAGTTTCTTGATTTCAGGAGGGCTGATGATGCCCAGCTTGTAATTAGGGCTTATAAAAGTCTCCTAAACCCTAAGCCCTAAACCCTAAACCCCAAACTCCTTATAATGCAGGCTGCCTTAGTAGGGCTTGCAGTTGAACCGTCCTTCGCATTGGGGCCTCAGAGTTCCTGTAGGGGCTGGCATGTAGGGTTCAGGAGACCTTGTTGGTGAGGGTCTCTAACCCTACAAGGACCAGTGAGTTCGTAGATGTTACCATTTGCTTTGAGGCCCTTTGAAGGCATGACAGTAAACACACTTGTGCTTGGAACCCTGAGCTCCTTTCAGTGTAAAGTTGTGCATGTCTTGTAGGCCCACCCTTCACATTCCTGAGCCACATGCCCTTGGCACCCTGTTCAGGAACTGAGTCGTGCTTGAGATCCCCTGGAACCCTGAACAATACACCCTAAGTCATGCTGAGGGTTCAGGACTTAAGGTGTAGGGCAATAGGGTTATGAACAGACGCAAAGACAACACGCCCCAAAGCACAGCCCAGCAGAGGGACTTTGTGTAGAGGGGAAAAAGGGTGGCCCCGCAACCGTGAACTTTCAACCTTACAAAGCTGCAAGCCTGCAGGCACGGACCCCAAACCCTAACACCAACCCGAGCACCCCCTGAGGGGGTTTGGGGTTTAGGGCTTAGGGTTTGCTGGAGCAAACAGAGCCAAGGGACTCCCCTTCGCCTCCCCAGCCCCCCCCCCCCCCCCCCCAAAAAAAAAAAAAAAAAAAGCTTCTGTAGGAGCTTACCCCAAAGAACATAGGGGCCATGATTCTCCCCAACTAGGTCGGACTCCCTCAAGACCTTTTAACAAGGGGACCTTGTAGGCCTCAGGGGCTTAGGGCTTATGGAACCCTAAACCCTGAACCCTGAACCCTGAACCCTAAACCCTAAACCCTAGGGTTTCATATCGCCCCCATACCTTCAACGAGGCTCGGAAGTTCTCCGCTGTCTTTGGCACGACGTCGCCGCGCAACATCATGACTATGCGGCCTGCCTGGCATTTGGGGTTTCGGGCTCATATGGGGGTTTACGAAAATAGAGGACCCTAATGTAGACCCCAAAATAATAGGAGTACTTTATAGAAAGGTGCAGGGGTTAGGGCTTAAAGTTCGGGGTTTACGGCTCATACGGATTCGGGTTTAGGCATAGCGGGTGTTAGGAGATAGGGCCAGGGCCAGGGCTTGAAGGATTTCAGCCCTATGACCTCAAGACCCGAGTTCGAAACTCTAGAACCCTTAACTCCTGTTAACTCCGTCAGCCCTCAAACCCTGCGACCACGGCTCTACCACTAGCGAGGTCACAAGCAAGATCATGTCTAGGTCCCTTTTGAGATCCTGTCACTTAAGGGTTTAAAGTTGAGGGTCAACGACAAGAAAGTGCCCTGTAAACCCTAAACCCTCAACCCTCAACCCTAAACCCTTAACCCACAAAAGGCGCTCAAACCGCCCAGTTTTGGTCCTTTTGCGCCTTCTCCCCGCCGAGCTCGATGTCGAAGTAGGTTCGGGGGCACCTCAGCTGCCAGAAAGGAGTGTAGGGTTCAGGGTCTAGGGTCCAGAGTCTAGGGTCTAGGGTTTGGGTTTAGGGTTTCGGGTTTAGGGTTTAGGGTTAGGCATTCGGGTTTAGGATTTAGTCATTAGGGTTTAGGGTTTGGGCTCAGGGTTTAGGGTCTAAAGTCTAGGGTCTAGAGTCTAGGGCTTAATTAGGGTTCAGGGTTAAGGGTTAAGGGTTTAGGGCTTAGGGTTTAGAGTACTTTGGAGTCGACCATGGACAAAAGTAAATACTTTTTTGGTATAAGTAGCCAAAATAGGAACACAGAACAATAAGTACCCAAAATAGGAACACAGAACCCAAAACACCCGTTTTAAAGTATAGTACTCCAAAACACAGGTTTGTAGCATTTAGGATGGTTTAGGGCTTCAAAGGTTAAGGGCTTATCACGCTTCTTCAAAGAGCTGTTTGGGGTTTTCTTCTAAGGGTAATTATACGGGCTGTGGTCCCTTACCGTCCTTTCATATTCTTCTGAAGTATGGGCCCCTTGGGTTGTGTAGGGTATGTAAGGGGTATCTAAGGGGTCCCCATTTAAGCGCCCATACTAAGGGACCATGCAACTACCACAAGATACAAGTATACCTAGACCCAAGACTAGGAATGAAGGGTGTGCCCCTTTATCGGTTTAAAGAGGGCTTCTAAGGGGGACCCTAAGTTAAACCCTAAAAAAGGAATGTATATGGGCCTTCTCCGAGTCCTCTCTACATGTTTTGAGGGACTTGGAATCTGCGTAAAACCCTAAACCCTAAACCCTAAACCCTAAACCCTAAACCCTAAGCCTCTGTGGTGTGATAGCTTGCCTCCGCACACCCTATCCTAGAACATGTAGAACTCGGCGTGCCATTGTTCCGAGCCAACTCACAGGCACGTCAGGCGGGAAAAGGCTGGCAGAGAATTTGGAGTTTTGCATGGCGCACGACTGTACCTACCTCCCGTGGGCAGGGCAATGAAGCCTCCACTCTAACACCCTAAACCCTAAATCGCACAGCGCTAGAATTTAGCCCTAAACCCTAAACCCCGAACCCTGCGACGACGGCAGCATAGAGAGACCTACACATTGGGTTCTGGGTTTTGGGGTTTAGGGCTTAGGGCGCCCGTAGCCCACATGGTGGGTCCTTGAAGAATTAAGGCAGAGTCGCTGTTGGTCTGTGAAGGGCTCCGGGGAAGGGGATTAGGGTTCAGGGTTTAGGGTTTAGGGTTTAGGGTTTAGGGGGGGCATCGTCACCAACATGCCGATTCACCAATCAACCGCCCGAGGAGCTTGGCCGCCTTGCCGATCAGGGTATCCCACTTCTTCTGGTACATGTCCTGCGCGGTCTAGGGTTTAGGGTTTAGGGTTTAGGGTTTAGGGTTCAGGGTTTAGGTTTTAGGGCCTGGAGCTCTCAACTTCTCCGTGAACTGTGAACTGTAGACCTCCAGTTGCTCCAGGGCCGACCTCACCCCCACCCAAACGGAGGAACTGCAGCCCAAAACTGCGACTACCTATGGGTTCTTGTTGAAGCTTAATCCCAAACGCTAAACTCGCATTGAACTCCAGTCCTCGCAACCTTCAATACAAACTCTAGACCATTCCTCAGCCCTAACCGTAAAAACCTAAGACCCTACCTCGACCCAAGAGTAACCGAGGAATGATAAATGGCACCCGTTTGGCTTCTAATGGAACTTATAAGAAACTAAGCCCTAACAAAAGGGGAATCTGAGTCCTAGCCCTAAGCCCTACACCTTACACTCTAAAGGGCTTAGGGTTTAGAGTGTACGGCAAAAACGCTTAATCTTGATACCCTGAAGCCCCAAAGCTCATGAGGTCCAATCCTGGACGGCTTACGTCGAGGTGGCAAGTCCAGCTGCTTTGGGGTAGGGTTCAGAGGGTGTCCCTAAACCCTAAACCCTAAACCCTAAACCCTAAGTTGTGATTTCGGGATGAGGGACGTTTAGCGCAAGCACAGGGTTCGGGATGTATCGCAGCTGACAGTCTCTGTTGGAATCAAAACCACAAGAAGCAAGATCCTTGAAAGTACTGTTGGCAGTAGGGAGTGAGCCTATCTTATCCCTTAAAGGGTACCTCATTCCCTCATTCCCTACTAACCAACAGTAAGTAAACCGTCAAGCCCTCAACCCGCAAACCCTAAACCCTGATAACCCCCCCGATGCAGTGGGGCTGAAAACCCAGCAGCGTTGAATGGGGCTTACAGGATTCGAGGTTGGGGTTCGCGTGCGCCTAAACCCTAAACCCATAAACCCCTAAACCCTAAATCCCGAAACCCCGAAACCCCGAAACCCCTAAACCCCTAAACCCCTAAACCCCTAAACCCCTAAACCCCTAAACCCCTAAACCCCTAAACCCCGAAACCCCTAAACCCCTAAACCCCTAAACCCCTAGGGATCCGTGCGTCTGTCTCGCCTAAATCGTCCGACGACCGCTTCATAAACCCCTAAACCCCTAAACCCGTAAACCCCTAAACCCCGAAACCCAGCGGCTGCAGCGCTGCGTAGCCCATCATCAGACCAATGGTTGGCGTCGGTCCTTGATGGACTTCTCCAGATCCTGAGTGTAGAGTGTAGGGTTGAGGGTTTAGGGTTTCTCAGCCCATCCCCTAAATGCCTAAATGCTAAAAAGCCCTCATCTTCTTAACTCAAAACACACCCTGAAGACGGAGCAACCAAAACACGAAGGCCCTCAACCCTAAAACCTAAAACCCTAAACCCTAAACCCCTAAACCCTAAACCCCTAACCCCTAAACTCTTAAACCCCTAAACCCTAAACCCCTAACCCCTAAACCCTCAACCCCTAAACCCCTCAACCCTCAGCCCTAAGCCCGAAGCCCTAAACCTTAAACCGCCAATGGCCCCCTACAAGCCTCGAACGAACAACACAGAATAGCATCCATATGCTGTTTCGGACTTTGGGCTTGGAGGGCTTCGAGGGGCTTGAGGGTGTATGTTCAGTGTTTTGGTGTTTTCCTTTTTGTGTGTGTGTGTGTGCGTATGCGTATGCGTATGCGTATGCGTGTGCGTGTGCGTGTGCGTGTGCGTGTGCGTGTGCGTGTGCGTGTGCGTGTGCGTGTGCGTGTGCGTGTGCGTGTGCGTGTGCGTGTGCGTGTGCGTGTGCGTGTGCGTGTGCGTGTGCGGCGGGGGGGGGGGGGGGGGGTTGCTCAAGGGTTTTAAGTTTTTAGGGGCCTTAGGGTGTATGTTAAGTTTTTTTGTGTGGGGAGGGGAAGGGGAAGGGCGGGGGGGGGGGTGGGCGGGGGGGGGTGGGGCGGGCGAGACCCTAAACCCTGAACTCTACCCTAAACCCTAAGCCCTAAGCCCTAAACCCTAAACCCTAAATCCTGATAACAGGGGGGGTTCTGGGGCTTCAGATGTCTCTTGGACGCCCGAATCACTGCCCTTTAGACCAAAAAACGTCTTAGATCCTTGCTACATGCAGCGTAAGGGAATGCATCCTCATAGCCATTACTTGTCAGGGGCCTTCGAGAGATGATGGTAAGAAACGGCTGGAACCGCGATGGAAGCACACAAGAAAGACGTCTCACCAGTTGGCTACCCAGCTCTCCTTACCTCGCCGTGGATGTGACCCTAGTACTGAAGCAGCTCTTCAACTTCAGCGGTGTCGCCGCCAGTGTCAGGATCACCCCAAGCAACCACGCTTCCATCTGGCAAGAGGGCGGCAAAAGATTCCCTGGTAGCTCTGATCTGCTGCACATGTCTAAGCTGACCTTGTACTTGGGAACTATCGGCTCCACACCTGTCCAAGCCCCAAGTAACGACTCTGCCATCGGCCAGGAGTGCTGCGAAAGCGTAGGCTGTACTTTGAATGTCCTGCACGTTTTTGAGTTGATCTTGGACAGCAGAGCTGTCTCCACCCACATCGGGGCTGCCCCAAGTGACCACTCTGCCATCCTCGAGGATGGCAGCAAAGGCATCAAAAGCGCCAGTGATCTGCTTCACTCTCTTCAGCTTGTCTTGCACTTCAGTACTGTCACCACCATACTCAGGGTCACCCCAGGTAACCACAGATCTGTCCGCCAGGATTGCAGCAAACGCACCGAAGCAACCCTTAGTGGCCCTCACATCCTGCACCTCTCTCAGCTGATCGCGGACAGCTGAGTCGTCACCACCGCACTCAGGCTTGCCCCAAGTGACGACCGTCCTATCTGCTAGCACGGCAGCAAAAGCATCAAAGCCACTCACAATGCGTTGCACATGTCTTAGCCTTTCTTGCACTTCTGAGCTGTCACCACCACACTCGGGATCGCCCCATGTGACGACGGTCCCGTCTGACCGAACAGCAGCAAAAGCGAACTGTGTAGCCTCAATCTGCTTTACGTTCTTCAGCTGATTCTGGACTTCGGTACTGTCCGCACCACAACTGGAATTGCCCCATGTAACCACGGTCTCGTCAGCCAAAATGGCAGCAAAGGCGCCAAACGAAGCCTGAACGCTCTTCACATCTCTCAACTTGTGTCGGACTTCACGCACATCACCAGAGTATGACCCCCAGGTCACTACTTTTCCATCCCCAAGAAGGGCAGCAAAATTCGCGTGGGCTGCATGAAGATGTTGCACGTGCTTCAGCCGCTCATGTACATCAGTTGCATCACCGCCCCAGGCAGGATCACCCCATGTCACGACCAAGTCCCCTCCGGGACAATACAAGGCAAAGGCTTGATCCGTTGCCACCAGCTTGGCTTGCTGCACGACGGCTGTTAGGCAGTCCCCATCTTCAAGCCCTTCATCTTCCAGCGATTTGGATGGGTCCAACGTCCGACCATCTCTCACAAATCTCAAGAAGCCTTGCTGCAGCGCTTGCTGCACAGCTGTCTTCAGATCAACCACCTTGGAACACCTGGGAAGGGAAACGCTGGTGGAGCGACCACTGGGCAGAAGGACTCGGACTTGTAAAAGGTCTGCGGATTTGTTGGAAGCACTGGAAAGCACGGAGTCCATAGCAACTTTGGCCGGCAAACGACCAAGCCTGTCGCTCAAGCTGCTTCCAGAGGAATGATGGGTTTACAGAAGCTGCCCTAATCTGACTCCAAAAGAATCCTTCGTTCACTGCAAGTATATTCAAGTATATCGGTGTACCTCTCTTGGAGTCCTGTCCATCTTATGCCCACGTGATTTCGAAAGGCAATTATCTCTACTGTCAGGCGGAGCTGGAAAGAAACATGCCAGTACAGTGGAAGAAAACTGAACAGGGGAGGTTTACGAAAATAGGGGACCCTATATAAAGACCCCCAAATAGTAGGATCCCCGTATACCAAGGACCCCAACAAAGCACCTCTAATTTCGGAAACCCCAATATCAACAACCTATATGCATGTCAACCCCGAAACCTGAACCCCAAACCCGAACCGTGGCCTCTTCGGTGGGATACTTCTCCTTCAACTCCTTCGGCATTCACTCGGGACATACTAGCTACTGGCAATTGGGGTTTCGGACTATCTACAAGGCTAAGTGCGGCGAAAGGCGCACTGGGGTTTAGGGTGTATGGGGTGTATCCCCTCATCCCAAGCATTGAACTCTCCACCTTGAAACCCAATTGTAATCCCCCAAACTCGCAACCCTCTATCAACCCTAAACCTAAACCCTAACCCGCAAACCCTGAACCCTCTGCCGTGTGAAGATCACAGAAGCCCATTCCGGTCCAACCCCGCACAAACAAGTGTTGGTTTTACGGTGCAGGGTATAGGGCATAGGGTTGCTTGGTAGCCCAGTAACCATATTTTCATAAGGGCACGCTTTTTGGGTTGGCTACTTTACAAGGGAACCCATAACCCCAAAAAAGGGGTAAAGTGTACCAGTGGGCTACCAAGGTTGTAAGGCTTTAGGGTTTTTGGGGTTTAGGGTTCTAGGGTTTAGGGACGGTCTCGAGATTCAGAGATTAGGGCTCTCCACCGGCAAATGCCCCCGGGAAGGTTTCAGGGTAAATCTTAGCAGCTAAACCCTAAATCCTAAACTCTGAGCCCTAAGAACGGCGGGAAAACTGAACCCGAAACCCCAAACCCTTTGGCGGCCCCAGGCCCTGAGCCCAAACCCCGTAACCGAACCCCCCGCCAACCCTAAACTTAGTGACCCTAAACCCCAAACCCTAAAATCGAAACCCTAAACCCTAGACCCTAAACCCTAAACCCTAAACCCTAAACCCCAAACCCTAAAATCGAAACCCTAAACCCTAAACCCTAGACCCTAAAGCCTAAACCCTAAACCCTAAACCCCTGTCTCCTTGCCCTTGTCCGAGCCCTCGTCCTTGTAAGCAGCTCTCCTTTTGTCTGGCTGGGGCTGCTTTGGGGTTTAGGGTTTAGGGTTTAGGGTTCAGGGTTTAGGGTTTAGGGTTTAGGGTTTCGGGTTTAGGGTTTCGGGTTTCGGGTTCAGGGTTTAGGGTTTAGGGGTTTCGGGGTTTCGGGTCTCGAGCCAAAGCCACCTAAACACCAGACCGCAAACCTCAGCTCCACTGCTGTTCAAGCAGATCCAGGGTCTGACGCGCTGGGTTTGTGGCTTGGGTATCCTAAACCCTAAACCCTAAACCCTAAACCCTAAACCCTAAACCCGAAACCCTAAACCCTAAACCCTAAACCCTAAACCCTAAGCCCTAAGCCCTAAGCCCTAAGCCCTAAGCCCTAAGCCCTAAACCCTAACCCTAAACCCTAAACCCTACACTCATGGTACAGGAGGTTGCGGCTTCGGGTTGAGTGGGGAACAGAGGCCCTTCGGTCGACCCTGCATCTAGGCGAAAACCCCTACACATAACTGATATAGTCCCTGAATAACCCCTGAGGCCCCTTATAAGGTCCCTCCTTTAGCCCTTGAGCCCTAAACCCTAAACGCTACACCCCACCCTGAACCCTAAACCCTGAACCCTAAATAACCCCGCAAATAACCCCTAATAGGGCTTTGGGTTTAGGGGGTTAGGAGTACTTCTCGTCCGCAAATCCTCGTGTGCAAACACACGCGCAGTAGAAGCCAAACACCCCTGCTGCTACCGTGAGAGGTTCAGGGTTTCGGGGATGGTTCGCTTTAGGTTTAAGGTTTAAGGTTTAGGGTTTAGGGTTTAGGGTTCAAGGTTTCGGGTTATTTGGCAAGCGCGGAGCATCTTTGTCACAACGCAAAGGCCTTGATCCAGACTACACCATCATGCGGGGACCGAGCACGAAAGCAGGAAAAGCAAAAAACGAAGATTTTCCCGAATGGTATATAAACCGCACGACGAAAAGTTACGCGGCATGTACTTACCATAATGTGTAGTGTAATTACCACAATCTTCGCATGTATGTGTATATACTAAAGCTGTTCATGATATTTCTGCTCAACGAGATGCATGATGAATGTACAGAAAATCAGATGCTATGGTACGCGTACTTGTTCATCTTCGAACTACTATTCATCAACTTCCATGCATGATATACTGCATACCTTGGCTGAATGAACATACTGCGTATGATGAAACATATACTCTACACGACCTTGTATATATTGCATATTGAACATATTTACTAGACCACAGAGTAACCTTGGAACAAACTGGCTAGACTTTTTGGTTTAGGTCTTATCAGGGAACCTAGAAAAAGGGAATGAGGGCCCACTCTGGGTCCTGGTGACAGGACCCTAAACCCTAAACCCTAGACCCTAGACCCTAAACCCTAAACCCTAAACCCTAAACCTAAACCCTAAGTCTTCGTGGTAAGGTCCAGGGTTCCGGGTTCAATTTGGGCGCAAGATTGGCTAAGGGCTTTCGCTGTCCAGGCGGCTGTCCGTCGGCCCACTTCTTCATGGCCTGAGAGAGACATGTCGCTTCAGGGCTTATAGGGTTTAGGGCTTGGGGTTTAGGGTTTAGGCTTTGGGGTTTTAGGGTTCATCGAGCAATGTTCCGGGTGGGACACAAAGAAAACCCAACCCCCGTAAACGCAAGCACTGTGTATCCAGAATCTAGACAACAGACACAGCTTCTGACCAGGTCAACCCATACGAGCCTATATACATCCAACCCGAACAAACCTAAACCCCAAACCCTGAGCCCTAAAGCCTAAACCCGAACCTGACCCCAACCCCGAAACCCTAAACCCCAAACCCCAAACCCAAATCCCCCTTGCGTCGCCTCCTCGTTCTTCGCCCCAAAGAAGCGCTCCTTCGCCTCGTCAGTCCACTCCCCGGCCTTCGCAAAGGGTTTTGGGGGGTTAGGGTGTAAGGTTTAGGGTTGGGTTTCGGGTTGAGGGTTTAGGGTCTAGGGTCTAGGGTTTAGGGTTTTTGGTTCAGGGTTTAGGGTTTAGGGACCCAGGAGGGATTGTAGGGTTTATATGATAAGATTCTTCTAGGGGAGAAAAACGGGGCTTCCACGGTTTCCGTAAAGGACTTGTTGTAACAGGGGTTTGTGTTGGGGTTGTAGTTTAGGGTTTAGGGTTTAGGGTTTAGGGTTTAGGGTTTAGGGTTTAGGGTTTAGGGTTTAGGGTTTAGGGTTTAGGGTCTTTTGAGAGGGTTTATCTTGGGGTCTGGCAGGGTTGGTCCCCTTGCAGAAAGCTCCAGTGATGTCGGCATTGAACAAGAACCAGGCACCAGTTGAAGCAGTGTTAGGGTTTAGGGTTTAGGGTTTAGGGTTCAGGGTTTAGGGTCTAGGGTGTCTCGGCGCAGCTCGAGGAGGTCAAGGGTCTCGGTCGCCTCTCAGCTGTCATGGTGCGCCCTCTGGCATTTGGTCCCACGGATTTTCTCGCACGAGGGCCTTCTGTTCCTTGCGTGTGGCTCCATGGCTGGACGCAAACACTCCTCCACGGGTCTCGGTACGGTTTTTTGTATTTTTAATGGGGTTCATGGGGTTTGCTATAGGGTTGGGAGGACTTGGGTTCAGGGTGGCGGGATTCATGGCTCGAGGGTTTCGTAGGGGGGGAGAACGGGGGGGGGGGGGGGGGGGGGGGGTTAAAAGCGCGACTGGCTTCTTGGCTATTTCTTGGAGTTTTGCTTTAGTTGCCCCTAAATCCTAAACCCTAAACCCTCAACATTTTCTCTGGAGGGGAGCGGAGGGGAGGGAGGGTTGAGGGATCAAGGTTTCCGTGCTTTGGGGCTCAGGACTTGCAGCCCTAAACCCTAAACCCTAAACCCTAAACCCCAAACCCTAAACCCTAAACCCTAAGCCCTAAACCCTAAACCCTAAACCCTAAACCCTAAACCCTAGGGTTTGGGATCGGGGTCGAGGATGCTGGGCTCCTGGGCGCCCCTTCTTCACCTTGCTAGTGTAGAACCCCCCGAAGCCATCATTCCCTGTCCCCTAAACCCTAATCTCGAATCCCCAGACTCTCTTCCCAAGTCCTTCATCCCCAAACCCTAAACCCTAAACCCTAAACCCTAAACCCTAAACCCTAAACCCCTCAACTTCAGGATGTTGGAGATGCCTCCGTCTTGAAGCCCTCCGGGATAGGCCTCCGCACTCGAAAAAAAAACACAGGAGGCCCCCCTGGGGTTTAGGGTTTAGGGTTTAGGGTTTAGGGTTTAGGGTTTAGGGTTTAGGGTTTAGGGTTTAGGGTTAGGGTGGAGCGTGGGGCTCATCTCTTTCAGCATGCCCACATCTAAGACTTCTCAATCCCTAAGCCAAGGCAAGGGATCTCTAAGCCTTGCGAAGCCCACAGTTGTAGCAGTTGAACGATAAGGGGCCCAAAATTCCATGTCAGCCCCGAAGCCTTCAGCCCAACCCCCAACCCTTACATAAACCCGCTAACGAACCCCAACTCCCAAACCAGACAGCCCGAAGATCTGTCTAAGCTCCAACACCTATGCAGTGACCCAGTAGGCCCTGAAAAGCAGAAGGGCTCCGAGTTTTGGAGGGGTTTCAGGCCGCGGGGCGCGGAACGTACGCTGTGGCTTTGGAGCCGGGGGGGGGGGTTGGGGTTCAGGAGGTTTAGGGTTTGGTGTTTCTTTGCGTTCTGGCTTCGGGCTCAGAAGTTTTCTTGGAAGGGGGGGGG